TCCCCTTTCTCATGTAACAGAAGGACTAGAAACCAGTTGATGGGGGCATTTTGTTGACAATGTCCACATGTATACCCTATTAAGAAAATATTTGGGCGGGGAGCAGCGGCTCGTGCCTGTAATCCCAGGACTTTGGGAGACTGAGGTGGGTGGATCATCTGAAGTCAGGGGTTCAAAACTAGCCTGGCCAATGTGGTGAAACCCCAATGCTACTAAAAATACAAATAAAATAAATACATAAAAATTAACCAGGCATGGTGGTGGGCACCTATAATCCCAGCTACTCAGGAGACTGAGGTAGGAGAATCACTTGAATGCAGGAGGCAGAGGTTGCAGTGAGCTGAGATTGCACCACTGCACCCCAGACTGGGCAACATAGCAAGACTCTGTCTCAAAAAACAAAAAGAAAGAAAGAAAGAAAATATTTGTTGCCACTAAAAAAAATCTAAGGTCTTTTTATTGATTTGACTTTTCTTCAATTTATAAGGCTCACTTGAGTTTCTGTTTAAATGATCTCATCAATGTAACAAAATCTAGAACTTTAAAAAGTTCTAGATTATTTATTATTATATTTAGCAGAGCATTATTCTGTCCACTGTTGAGAGGGCTATTTCGGAGGGCACCCGAGTCATGCCTCTGGGGCTGTTAGGCGTCCCCGCTGCCGCCACTGCCTGTGCTCCATGGGGAAGATGCTCGCTTCTGTCTCCCGCGTGCTGTCTGGCGCGTCTCAGAAGCCGACAAGCAGGGTGCTGGTAGCATCCCGTCATTTTGCAAATGATGTTACATTTGAAATTAAGAACTGTGACCTTCGCTGGCTGGAAGAAGGCCCTCCTACCACAACAGTGCTCACCAGGGAGGATGGGCTCAAATACTACAGGATGATGCAGACCCTGCGCCGGATGGAGTTAAAAGCAGATCAGCTGCATAAACAGAACATTATTCGTGGTTTCTGGGACTTTTGTGATGGTCAGCAAACTTGCTGTTTGGGCCTGGAGGCCGGCATAAACCCCGCAGACCATGTCATCACAGCCTATCGGGCACACGGCTTTACCTTCACCCGGGGCCTTTCCGTCCCAGAAATTCTCGCAGAGCTGACAGGACCAAAAGGAGGTTGCGCTAAAGGGAAAGGAGGATCGATGCTCATGGTCGCTAAGAACTTCTATGGGGACAATGGCGTCGTAGGAGCGCAGGGGCCCCTGGGCGCTGGGACGGCTCTGACCTCTAAGTATAATGGAAAAGATGAGGTCTGCCTGGCCTTCTATAGCGATGGCGCTGCTAATCAGGGCCAGATATTAGAATCTTACAACGTGGCAGCTTTCTGGAAATTACCTTGTATTTTCATCTGTAAGAATAACCGCTATGGAATGGGAACGTCTGTTGAGAGAGCAGCAGCCAGCACTGATTACTAGGAGAGAGGCGATTTCGTCCCTATGCTGACAGTGGATGCAATGGTATCCTGTGCGTCCGAGAGGCGACAAGGTTTGCCACTGCCTGTTGTAGATCTGGGAAGGGGGCCATCCTGAAGGGGCTGCAGACTTAGCATTACTACAGACACTGCGTGAGTGATCCTGGAGTCAGTTACCACACATGAGAAGACATTCAGGAAGTAAGAAGTAAGAGTGACTGTATTATGCTTCTCAAGGACAGGATGGTGAACAGCAATCTTGCCAGTGTAGAAGAATTAAAGGAAATTGATGTGAAGGTGAGGAGGGAAAGTGAGGATGCTGCCCAGTTTGCCACGGCCTATCCAGAGTCGCCTTTGGAGGAGCTGGGCTACCACATCTACTCCAGCGACCCACCTTTCTAAGTTCGTGGTGCCAATCAGTGGATCAAGTTTAAGTCAGTCAGTTAAGGGGAGAAGGTGAGTTTATACCTTCAGGGGCTACTAGACAATGTTCAGTGTTCTCAACTTGGTTAAGGAGGAAGAAAACCCAGTCCATGAAATTCTTGTGAATTTCCATTAAGAGGAAGTGTGTAGATTGAGCAGGGAGTAATTGCATGCAGTTTGTACATTGTTGCATTAAAAGATGTTATTGCGTGCTAAAAAAAAAGGGGGGGGCTATTTCATTTCATTATATAGTATTTCACTAAGAAATGTTTCTATGACCCACAACATTAGCTCAGTTCTCATAATTTAAAAAAAACAGCCTTCTCTTTCTTCTTGAAACTTTTGTTCCAATGTGGTTATTCCCTCTGGACTACTCAATAATAATTTTTTCCCATTTATTTGTCCAGAAAATGTTTATTGATACTGCTAAGAGTATTTCTAGCTCTTAGTATTTGCTGTAATTGCTATAGCTCTCCCCAAACTGCTGAGCGCTGAGGTGCTAATAAAATGTGTTGAATTGAATGAGTTGTAATTGTCTTCCAGTTGGTATCCAGGTTCTACCTTCACCTGGTTCAGGAATGTTTTAGATAGAGCAGCAGCTGAAGGCACTTATTTATTTATTTATTTAGAGATGGATTTCGCTGGGACACCCGGTTGGAGTGCCATGGCGTGATCTCAGCTCACTGCAACCTCCCCCTCCTGGGTTCAAGTGATTCTCCTGCCTGAGCCCCCCAAGTAGCTGAGACTACAGGCATGTGCCCCACACCCAGCTAATTTTTGTATTTTTAGTAGAGATGGATTTCACCATATTGGCCAGTCTAGTCTTGAACTCCTGACCTCAGGTGATCTGCCCGCCTCAGCCTCCCAAGGTGCTGGGATTACAGCTGTGAGCCACTGTACCCAGCCAAGGCACTTTTATTTAAACATTTCTGACTGCTGTTCATGGCTTTCCATAATCTGCCAGAAGCTATATGATGCTGCATATCTCAAGTAAGACAGTTGTTCCACACCGAAATACAGCTCATTCATTGTTATCGCTGCTGTCTCCACGCTGCGCGGAAGCTGCGCCTGCTGCCTGAAACTGGCTGCACTGGAGCTGCTCCTGTTCAAATCTTTACTCACTTACTCAAGGCCCCATGCAAGCCCTTCTCTGGCCTTTCCAGAATCCCTCTTTGATAACTGCCGTCCACGTTGACTTTTCTTTTTCACGTTCACCTGTGTTTTTAAAACTTTTCTTGTACAAAAGGATACTTAACACGAGATCCACCCTCTTAATTTTTAAGTGTCTAATACAGTATTAACTGTGGGTAGGATGCTGTGCAGCAGGCCTCTGGAGCTTACTCATCCTGCTTGACTGAAACTTAAGCACTTTGATTAGCAGCCACCTGTTTCCTCCTTCTCCCCCCACCTGACTGGAATCACGCAGTGCTTGTCCCTCTGCAGCTGGATCATTTATTTTAGCATAGCAGCCTCAATGTCACTAGTCATCAGGGAAATGCAAATCAAAACCACCGTGAGCTATCACCACACACCTGTCAGAATGGCTACTATTAAAAAAAAAAAAAAAAACACCTGAAACAAAAGACAAGTGTTGGCCAGATTGTGGAGAAACTGGAATCGTGTACACAGTTGGTGAAAATGAAAAATGATTCAGCCGCTGTGGAAAACAATACAAAGGATCGTTGAAAAATGGAAACTAGAACTGCCATATGACCCAGCAATCCCACTTCTGGGTATTTATCTAAAAGAATTGAAATCAGAATCTCACAGGGATATCAGCCCTCCCAGGTTCACTGCGGCACTATTCACAACAGCCAACATGTGGGAAGAACTGAAATACCTGCTGGCAGGTGAATGGATAAAGAATATGTGCTATATCTATACAATGAAACATTTTTCAGTCTTAAAAAGGAAATTCTGCCGTGTGTGACAACATGGATAAACTGGAGGACATTATGCTCCAGTGAAATAGGTAAGTATTGCTAGTCCTTCTTCCACGTAAGTAAGCTAAAGCTCAGAGATGTCATTATCTGCCCAAAGTTTTAGAGCTAATATAAGGAAATGGAGAAGTTGGAATTCAAACCCATCTGAAACGTTGTCGCCATACACAAGGTCATCTAGATTTTTGTTGATTCATTTGAATTTTCTACATGGTCAATCATTTCATCTTCAAACAAAGATAGTTTTATTTCTTCCTTCCAAATCAGTATGCCTTTTGTTCCATTTTCTTATTTCCAAATCGGTGTACATTTTATTCCATTTTCTTGTTTCATTGCATTAGCTAGAACTTCCAGTACTGTGTTGAATGGGAGTGGTGAGAGTGGGTATACTTGTCTCATTCCTGACCTTAGTGAGAATACTTCTAATTTTTCCCCATTAAGTATGATGTTTGCTGTTGGAGTTTCATAGATTTATTTTTTATCAAAGTGAGGAAGTCCCCCTCTATTTCTAGTTTGCTAGGAATTTTATTACAAATGAGTGTTAGGCTTAGTCAAATGGTTTCTCTGCATTGATTCATATAATCACATGGTTTTTCTTCTTTAGCTTGTTGATGTGATGGGTTATATGAACTGATTTTTAAATGCTGAACCAGCCTCACACACCTAGGGCAAATCCTGCATGGTCATGCTGATCTATTTTCTTTTTAATTTTCTCTCCTCTACTTAGGATAGAATTTTTGCTGCTAAGGGGTGTGTGTGTGTGTGTGTGTGTGTGTGTGTGTGTGTGCATGCAAGGGAGTTCCATGCCTTAACCCTAACATGGTGGTATCACTCTATTCCAGGTGAACTTGAGTACTCAGTACTATTGTCACTAGCATATACTATAGCTCAGTGAGCATTACTTTTACTCTGGAGTGCCTTTGAGGACTTCACAGGAGCAATAAGAATGCTTTGGACAATAAATAAAATATTGTATGACAACTGAGGGTTACTTCCTTATTGACTTCCAACTTTCCTCCTCTCTGTTCTGTTTAATTGTTTGCTGCCCTCTCTCCATGTGACCCAGCTCCTGACCAGTTGAACCAATCGGAATGGTCCTGATTCCCACCCATCCACTCATGTAGGGGTGGAAGTGTGACCCAGCTCAGCATGGTGAAATGTGTGAGGGCGGTTCCACTCAACTACTATCTGTGCACTTGGGAAAGGATTTTTTGGTTTTTAGAAGAAGCAAAAGAGAAAGATGCTTTATTCTGGAGTGTCATTTCTGGATGTGATGTCTACCACTGTGTGTCCACTAGGCAGCCGTAAGGAGCTGGCTTACCACAATGCCGGTACACCCAACCTGGCGGCGTTGAGAGGCTGAAGCAACTCAGGTCCTCGGGGGCGCCGTGGAATTGCCGAATTTACTAACCTTGAAGCTGCCTTAACTCTTTGTTTTAATTTTTTAGAGCAGAAACCCGAGGATCCCTGCAATGTCAGCTAGGTACTTGCATTTATTTTGATAAATTTCTTTGAGTGTGGCCCAAGAACAGCTTGTGTGAGAATACTTCAGAATGCCTGCTAAAAAGTGGGCTCCTCTTCATATCTTCCTTATTATAGGAGGGAATATCCATGGTGGGCCTCAGAATCACCATCTTAACAATTTCTCTATTTATTATTCTGTTCACTCAAGATTCAGAGTCCGTATTTTCAGGAAAACAAATAGCTCTTGCAGGGGACTCAGTTCGTCACCCTCATAGAGAACAGCCTTGCAATGTATTATATTTTCTGATGTTGATGCCTAACTCTTACAGGGCAGCTCACCATCCTGATAACACCACCCCAAGGAGACATGAACCCAAAGTCCAGAAATGTGAAAGCGAGATTAGAAGAGAGAAAAAGATCAGAAATATTTACTAGGATAATCAGAAGAAGAAATGTTGAAACTGAACAGGATAAAAATATTTCAGTGAGCCAATGGGTCTCCTCTAACACGTATTCAGAAGACAGATGGTAAAGTGGGAAGCTAATCCGTTAAGAAATAATTATAATAGGTTATTGGAGACTAGGGAAAAGGAAGTAAAAGATTTATTAAATAGCTTGCACTCCAACTATGCAGAAAGGTGGCCAATCATGGATTATATGTGCATGTAAGTGTGTATTAGTCAGAGGGAGCAAGCCTTGGAAAAGGCAGCAGAGCTTAAAGACTGCCTGTAGAACAGATGAATGCATCAAATGGTCCTCTTAGGAGCTGGAAGAGTGATGCCCTTCCTTTCAGAATCTCACTGGCCATCAAGTACAGTTTGACGCCTATGTTGTTTAATGACAGTTGTAGAAATAATGCTCTGTAATGTCTGATAATTGAAACACTTCTTTTCTGGCAAAGACTATTTAGATTTATATTTGTTGAAAGCTACAAATACTCATGTGTGCACACACACACACATACACACACACACATCTCTCTAGAATAAACTATTTAAACACCTTTACATCCTTTTCCCAAGCCTTCAATAACTTCCAATTACTGAAGCCATAAATGCCCTATTTTACAAAATAATACTCTTGTGGCCTGCACATTTGCCTCACTTACTACCTGGGAAAGGCTAAGTCTCTTGTTAGAATAGTAATTTAGGTTATATTTAGTTTGGAACTTCATTCCTATGTCCCTGGAGAGCAGTTATTGGTGTTTTCATTCACCTCATGGGTGGGTCTTTTCTCTTAAGTATTGAAGGTTGCAGGGCTGGTCTCTAGTGCACTGTTAGGGAGAGAATTCTTGAAATTTCACACAGGAACCATTCACCGTCTTCCTGCTATCAAATATATGGATATGCCTACATCTTCCTCAACCATGTCCTACTCACTTTTTAAAATAAAAATTTGATCTGTTCTTTAAATCTAGTATTTTCTTGGGTGCTTAGGATTCAATTCGCTTCTATTTTCCAGGAATTTGTTAGAGCCCCTTCTCTCTATTTTGTATTTGACTTCTCCTTTCAATTTTGCCTTTTAATTTATTTTAATGTATTTATTTTTTGAGACAGAATATCACTCTGTTGCCCAGGCTGGAGTGCAATGGTGTGATCTCAGCTCCTTGCAACTTCTGCCTCCCTGGTTCAAGCAATTCTCCTACTGCAGCCTCCCAAGTAGCTGGGATTACAGACACCCACCATCATGCTTGGCTAATTTTTCTATTTTTATAGACACGGG